GGGTGTGCGCGGGGCTGGAGGGGGTGCGGGGGCGGAGGGGGACGGGTGTGCGCGGGGCTGGAGGGGCTGCGGCGGCGGAGGGAGACGGGTGTGCGCGGGGCTGGAGGGGCTGCGGCGGCGGAGTGGGACAGAGGGGTGTGCGCGGGGCTGGAGGGGCTGCGGCGGTGGAGGGAGACCGGGGTGCGGGGGCGGAGGGGGACAGAGGGGTGTGCGTGGGGCTGGAGGGGCTGTGGGGCTGGAGGGGGACAGAGGGGTTTGTACAGTGTGTTCAGGGTGCCAGGGCATGAGCCAGCCAGAGAGGGTGAGGAGCTTCTCATGCGCACCCAGACACACGCAGACGGACGGCTGCAGACGTGCCCACGCCCAGAAGCAGGCAGGCGCGCACAGACACGCTCAGACAGACACACGTACACACAGGCACATAGACACGTACATACAGACGCATGCGCACACCCAGACAGACACACGTACATACAGACATGCACACACGTGCAGACGCATGCGCGCACCCAGACACACGCAGACAGACGGCCACAGACGTGCCCACGCCCAGAAGCAGGCAGGCGCGCACACAAACACGCACAGCGGGGCACACGGGAGGTGGGCTGGGAACACCTGCTGCTACAGGGACGCTGACCCCAGGACCAAAGGCTGGAGTGCAGGGGCACACCAGGCATAACCCTCCTCCCCCCAGCCTGGGGCAGACTCTTCCCTGGGGTTGGCCTGGGAGCCAGCCTGGCCCGTGCTTCCCAGAGCAGGTGCACCAAGGCAGCAGCTACTGTGCCAGGTGCCAGCATGGGCTGATCGTCCGTGGGATGGGGGAGCCCTAGCAGCTCTGGGGCAGAGGCTGGGTCCAGCGCCAGGCTAACAGCCCATGCCAGGGATGGCCCTGGCAGCACCCTTTGCACAGGCACTGGGGCGGAGACACGACCTGGCTCCACCTGGCACTCCAGCCGGGCACGCTGGGAGCAGGGCAATTCTGCCGCCCCGCTAAGGCCATGAAGGCGAAGGGCAATCGGGATAAAATACAGCCCAGTTTTACAGCAGGTTGGTCGCCAGTGAGGTGCCAGACAGCGCCCCGGGGGGCTGTTAGTCACACGGGAGGAGCTGGGGATGAATTGGGGAACCGAACAGTGGGCAAAGAGCGAATATCCCCAATGACCTGGGCAGGCTCTGAGTCGCTACAGAGAATTCTTTCCCGGCTGTCTGGCTGCTGGGTCTTGCCCACATGCTCAGGGTCTGACTGATTGCTGTATTTGGGTGGGGAAGGAATTTTCCCTGGGTCAGATTGACAGCGTGGGGCAGAGTCACTTGCTGGGTTGAGTAAATGGTGGATTCTCTGTAACTTGACGTCTTTAAATCAAGATTTGGGGATGTCAGTAACTCAGCCAGACGTTAGGGGTCTGTTACAGGAGTGGGCAGGTGAGGTTCTGTGGCCTGCGATGTGCAGGTCAGACTCGATGGCCCTTCTGGCTTTAAAATTGGTGAGGAGCAAAGCGGGCTGCTGGCGCTGGGATTGCACCTGGCATGCTTCGACCTGCAAGCCGGCCCAGGGGTGCTGCAGGGCTCGCTCCCCCCGGCCCAGGCCCTAGAAATAGGGCTGCAATCCCTCAGCCCAAACTGGCTATGGCCAGCATGCAGTAATGCAGGGCAAGGGGTACAGACAGCAGGCAGGAGGAGCCACTCCAGGGCGTTGCCTGCCCAGCACGGGGCCAGGCGCTCAGCTGTGCAAACACTGTCCAGGGGAAGCTATGCCAAGCGAGCTGCCTCCTGCAGGCCTACGCCCCAGCCCCCCATTGCTCGCATCAGGGGCCGACCCATGGGCAGGGAGCACATTGCAGTGGAGGGTGCATAGGGGAGTTATCAGCCCCAAACCACTGTGGTTTCACACAGCGCCACAGACACACACACTGTCCTATCCCAGCCCTGGGCTCTCCCTAGCTCTGCTGGTGCCCCGCACTGCCGACCCATTGCTATTCCAGCCCCAGGCCCGGCTCTGCTGCTGCCCCTCTAGCCACAGGTTAATGTTCTTGTCACTTGGGCCCTGAGGTGCCCAACTCCCATGGGTAGGCTGTAGGCCAGTGTGGGGCTCAGGCTGCGCGGCTGGTAGAACCCTGGCAGCACTTGCCTCAGTGGTGTGTGCAGGGGACGGCAGCCCTGGCTGCCCCTTCACCAGCGGCTGGCTGCTCCTGCCTGGGGCTTGGCTATGCCCACTGAGCCGCACTCCCTGTGGCATGGGAGCACCTAGCTCTCTTCAGTGGAGTTCTCACAGCCCCTGGCGGGCTGGGCTGGGCAGGGCTAGTGCTCCCACTCAGCAGTAGGGGAAACTGAGGCACATCTCCAGGGTCATCAGGGCACGTCTACGGTCAATTTGGGGTTTGAACCTGGGTCTGCTAAGTCCCAGTTTTCAGCCTAACCACTGGGCTGTCTTTCCTTCTCTGGCAGCCCGCTCCTCACAAACTGGGCTGGGCCTGGGCGTGTCAACCACGTGCTCCCAAATGCACAGCCCCATCTCCCCTCCCCCGCACGTACCCCTTCCCCCACACAGGCCCACCTCCTCCCACATGCAGCCCCCTTCTCCACCTCCTGCCCACCCAGGGAGGCTCCCCGAGGAGCTGGCTCCCATCTGCCATACACTGTCCCGTTCCATGGGGAGTGTCGCAGCCCCCCCGGCCCCCCCCCACCCTAGCTCCAGCTGGCTCCGATCAGCAGCTCAATGATCGGACCCCACTGGCATGTAAATGTGGACCGTGTGCGGACCCTGCCATGGTGCCAGCTGGCCCGAGCTGTGTGGCGCACGGCTGCGTGCACCCGGACCCCCCCTGCCAGTGCATTCCTCACCATGCCGCAGGCAGACTCCGGAGGGCTACATGAGCCTGTGCGTGCCCAGCCATGGAGAGCGACACAGACGGGCACGGAGCCCTTTGCGCTCACGCCCTTCTCTCCTCCCGCCGGCTCATGGGGCTGAGGTGGATAGCAGGAGAAGCTGTGCTGGCTCTGCCTTGGGCTGATAGTGAGTCCCTCCCATGGCCTCCAGGGAGGCTGGGCTTGCGGCCATGGCCCTCAGGCCGCCTGGGTTCCTGGCTTCGGCACAGTCTCTCTGTGTCGCCCAGGCTGTGCCCCGTGGTCTCTCTGAGCCTCGGTCCTCCCAAACCGGGGCGGCGCTCCTCCCTTCGCCAGCCTGGCACGTGAGCTCTTGGGGAGGGGCTCTCCCGCCAGCCCTGGGCTGCCAACTGGGGCCCTGGCCTCGTGTGAGGCCAGTGGTGCCAGCTGCTGCTCACCATGTGCCCAACTGCATTGGAGGAGTGCTTCCCCCCGGCCCCAGCTCCCACCTGCTGTTGACACGGCCAGGGAGCTCAGCTGCGGGCTCTGGCATTGCTGCGAGCAGGACAGGGAGGGGGGAGGTTCAGGAGGCAGAGCTGGCTGTAGAACACCAGTGTGAACGGGCGACACCCGGCGTGCCCATCAGTCTGTAGCTGAGATGGGGCACTTACTCCGGGCACTGCCCCCCCCATTCAGTGCTTAAGCAGGAACTGCTGAGACCCCCGACAATTTCTCTTCTCTGCTCCCCACAGCTGCCGCCCACTCATACCGGGGGAGACTCTGCTCTCCCCCCCCCCCGGGCCATAGCGCCTGTGCCGCGTGGCAGTGCCCTGCTCCCTCCCAGGCTGGGGGGCACCTGTATCGCATGGCGGCGCCCTGCTTACCTACCCTGTTCTCTCTTCCAGGTAGTGGTGCCTACCCGCGTGGGGCAGGTCTACATCTACGACTCACCCAAAGGCGAGCAGGACGAGTACGACATCCCACGGCACCTCCTCGCCTCCGGGCCCCAGGAGATCTATGACGTGCCCCCCGTCCGGGGCATGCTTGCCAGCCAGTACAGCCAGGAGGTGAGGCCCTGCGCCAGCAGGTGGGCCGGCTGAGAGGCCTGTGTGTGTGTGGCCTGGTGTGGCTAGCTAGCTGCCCCTCCCACTCCCTCATCCTATAGGTGCTCTCCTTTCCACCTGGGTCTGGGGGCAGAGCTTCTTCAGGGGTACTCTGGATCTTGTCTCCTTCCTCGTCCAACAGGGGGTGATGTGCAGGGCAGGGTCTCTCTCCTCCCGGCTTTGGTCTGAGGGACAGTCTCCAGTGCGAGAACAAGGGATGCCCAATGATGCTGAAAAGAGGGCAGATTCCAGTATGATTAGCCTGTGGAACTCCCTACTACATGAAGTGTACAGGGGAGGGAGGGATAGCTCAGTGGTTTGAGCATTGGCCTGCTAAACCCAGGGTTGTGAGTTCAATCCTTGAGGGGGCCATTTAAGGAACTGGGGTAAAAATCTGTCTGGGGATTGGTCCTGCTTTGAGCAGGGGGTTGGACTAGATGACCTCCTGAGGTCCCTTCCAACCCTGATATTCTATGATTCTATGACCTAGATTGTAGCAAGCTTCAAAGGGATTCGTGGTTAGTGCTAGCAAAGGCAGAAGGGATACTAACCAATTAGGCTCAACTGGAGGCCATCTATAGGATGAGAGTGATGTGGGGGACAGATGACCCCCCCCACCCCATCTCTCTGTTGTGGGGTTCATGCACCTTCCTTCCTGGCCACTGTCAGTCAGGCTCTGAGCTCAGGGCAGTGGGGCTTGGCCGTCCTAGTATCCCTAGGGATCGACATGGCTACGGGCAGGTGCCTGGGCATGTGCTAGCCGCAGGAACCAATGCCATTGCTCGCTGCGCTCGCAGGTCTATGACACCCCCCCAATGGCAGTGAAGGGCCCCACCGGCCGGGAGCCCGGCCAGGAGATCTACGACGTGCCCCCCAGCGTGGAGAAGGCCCTGCACCAGGCTCCCCAAACTGTGAGTGGTGCCCGGGGGGGGAAATGCGGGCAGGGGGGCATGGGAATTCCTTTGTCTGCCCCAGGGCTGGCATCCAAGTCTGCACTCCCTGGCATGCCCCAGCACTAAGTCTTGCCTGGTTCTGCAGCACAGTGGCACCATGCCAGCCCCCATGCGGGAGGAGGTGGGGCGCAGAGCAGGATTTCCTCCAGCCGAGCTCCGAGGTGGGGTCAGCGCAGCATTGGAGAGCTCAGACGGTGCCACAGGCAAGCAGGGGTGGGTGCCTGGGATTGCTAGAGCAGGGGGCTCAGCGGGAACTGGGGGGCAGGTCCCAGCCCCCCCAGCCTCCAAGAAGCACCAGACGGGCCCCACAACCTCCAGAGCAGCTTCAAAGCCACCAGACTTTGAAAAATAATAAATATCGGGCAGTTTTCTGACCCATCGGGGCTCCCCCACAGCATCTGCTCCGACACGAAGAAGGGGCACAGGCAGGGCCGGGCACGGGTGGTAGGAAGGGGCGCTGGCAGGGCCAGGCCTTTTATGCAGGAAGGGGCACGGGCAGGGCCAGGAGCAGGCGGAGGAAGGGGTGCGGGCAGGGCCAGGAGCAGGCGGAGGAAGGGGCTTGGGCGTGGGCAGGGCCGGGCGTTATATGCAGGAAGGGGCGCGGGCAGGGCCGGGCGCAGGCAATAGGAAGGGGCGC